CTTCCAACCCTGACAATTTTATGATTGAACAAGGCGATTGCAAGCACATCCACACTAAGTTTGCGGATGACGCCAAGTTGGGTGGGACAGGTGAGGGGATACGGCACTGGGGGGGTGTCAGGACTCCCCAACCCACTCCCAGGGGGGCAGAGGTGTGAGGAGTGGTGCTCAGTCGCACTTTGCTTGAGAGGAGACTGACATCCACCCGAAAAAAAACCCCAAAACTTGAGCCCCACCACCAGCAGAGAGCGGGAGGTAATTTATGGTGGGTGCATCGCAAGGCTCGGCGTTGCTAACGAGATGCTGGCTGGTGATAGATCTTGCCTTGTCAGGTGAGAAAATTAAAATGTTATTGATGGGGGAAGTGAAGCGCAGAAGGATTTTTGATTTGATTTAACTTTTTTCTCCTTGGAGGAGCTGGGAGCTCTCATGGGCAGCACCAAGAGCCTCAATCCCTCCCAGCCAGAGGCTCCCCGCTGGCATGGCTTTGGTTTATATTGCCATGAATGTTTTTTCTTCTTCCCACCCCTAGGAAGCAACACAGGACAAAAATATACTCCACCAAGTGTAGGGGCTGCACATCCCCCATCCTGTCGGCATCTTCTCAAAGAAACTTCCCTTCAAAAAACCCTCCCGAGCGCTTCCCAGCTGCGGGATTTCTGGAAGGAAGGATTTTGGGGAGAGATGGGATTAATTAATTCAAGCCCAGGTGGAAGAGACTTGAGCAGAACAGCTGCCACATCAAAAGAAGTGCTGGTCTCCGGGCAGGGAAATGCTGGGGCTATTTTTAACTAATTAAAGAGACAATTTAGCACCGGACTGATACTCTACGAAAGAAATTCAACAGAAAAGCCAGACTAAACCAGATCAAACTCCTATTTCAAATCCCAACCCATCACCTCAAGCTGTGTTTCCTCCTTGGGGCTGAGCAACTCCCCAGCTGCTCCCAGTCCCTAATTTGCCCCCCCAGGGAGCAGCCCCCAAATCAGCCTCGGGGATGTTTATTCTTCAGTGGGAAAAGCCAGAAGGGATGAAATTCATGATACTGGTGAGGAGCCCTGATACCACGGGGATGGTACCTGGGAGTCCAGGGCTGGAAAAATCCAGGTGGCTGGGTCAGAATTGCAAATTCAGTTTTATTTAGGGGGGACAAGAGTGGAATTTTACTTCTTGCACTTGTTGTGCGACGGAGCTTGGCTGCAGCCCCTGCTTGCACAGCCCCGGCTGCGGGCACTGGGAGCTTGATCCAGGGGGATCCTGGCTGGACAGTGGGAACCTGGAACAATGCATTGGCCATGCAAGGGTATCTTAGTTTGTAATTATTATTTTTAATTATTTTTTTTTTAGTTCCTGGATTCCCAAAGGGGCGACATGGGACGAGGTTGTGGGTGATGAATGGCCTCAGCGCCGTCGGGGACATCGCATCCCAGAGGCTGGAGGCATTTCTTGCTCTTCTCTCACCTGGCAGATGAGCCTGTGAGATGTTGCCGTTGAGGCGCCCCATCCTCGATCCTCTCGGGATGGATGTACAAATTCAAAAAGAAGCAAATAATTCTGGCTGTTCCTGCCTTTTTAGCCACTTTAGCAAGCCCTGGTCTCATTGTCTTGTGCTCCCATGAGATGCACCAAAAGCCATTTGAGGTACGGGGGATATACTTCAAACCATAAATCAACTTATTTACCCGTTATATTGAGATTCAAACACACCCTCATCACTGGAAGTGATTATTCCCTCTCTGCCGCCTTTTATTCTCACAAACATGTGCAGCCGAGGCTCTTATTTCTGCAGGATATTTATCACAGAGCCCCGTTACCACACGTTATGCTCTTACGAAGTAGCAGGCTAACTTTATTCTTGCGTTTTCTTTCAGCTAAACAAGCACAAATCCTCGATGCCATTCGTAAGCACACCCATCAGAGATAAATATGGATATAGAGGTGCGCTTAGAAAATCCAGCTCTGTTGGCTGAGCTGAAAAATAACCCTGGGACGTTGCGTGCGGGTGAGAGAGATGGGTTTGGGGTTTTTTTTCCCTTTCCTCGGTGGTTTGTTAATATTTCTTTGATGCCATTAGAGATTCAGGTCCCATCTGCTTTACTCTGAGATCATCAGGGGGAGGAAAAAAAAAAAGCAAAATATGAAATAAATAGCTTAGGGTGGCAGGGCTGGAAGGGGTTATATAGGGAGGGAGGTGCGGGGCTGCTGCAGAGCTCGGCGCAGGGGAAACGTCTCCTGCCCTGGCACCATGGGCCAACTCCTGCAAACCCTCGTCTTCCTCCTCCTCCTCACCTCCTGCCCCTGCGCCGTCATCACTGGGGTAAGTCCCATCCCCAGCCTGGAAGATTGATTTAATTTTTATATTTT